CCCCAAAACCCCAAAACCCCAAAACCCCATGACAATATATAGTCCTATTAATAGATTCTTATTAAATAATTAATTTCTACTTTAATATAGTTAGGTTAATTTAGATATTGCTTGACTTTCTCAAGCCATTCAATAATCATCATAAATTGGATCGCTAGTTTTACCCAGTTTCATTTGTGATACTCTTATTAGATTTTGTGCTTCATCTTATGCGTTTGTTAGTCTTATACTTAAATTATAATTGTCTTCGAGTAGTTTTCTAATGGTTATGGCTTTATCAGCGAGGTCTACACTAAGTTTTTCCCTTTCTCTCGCGAGATCATCTATTTGTTTTGCCATTTCTATTCCATCCAGAGCACCTGTGCGAAGGTCTTCATTTTAATCAGCTATATCTCCATTACTTTTTTCTAAGGCCTTAATTCTATCTTTGAGAGCTTGTATCTTTCTTAAATTACCCTTTAAGGCATCCTCATATTAATCAGAGACAAATGAATGAGAGCTGTCTATCCATTTCGATAGAGCTTTTTGTTTTGTTTTATTAACTTAAGCTTTAGATGCTGCTAGAGCTAGTCTTTAAGATCCAACATACCTACGAAGCAAAAAATCTCTTTGTCCAGTTAGTAGATCTAAGGCTTCATCTGCATGGATTAAATTGTCTGTGAGATCAGTAATGCTATTTTGATTTTTAAAATTTATCATTGCCAGTTTAGGCTTAGTCATCTAACTAAGTTGATTAAATCTTTCTAAATCACCATATTTCCATTTCCTAAAAGCAAATTAAAGAACTGATAAGCGTGGATCAAGTTTCTTATTAAGTAAATCAAGAGATTTTTTGTATTGCTTCCTCAGTTTTACCCATTACTTCCACCTATCAAGACATTTCGGTAAAAGGTAAAGTTAATCGTTATAGCAGAATAGCCTACATACACTTTTTTCAATACCTTTGATGCTTCTTCTTCGATCATTTACAATAACTTGATCAACTACTTTTTACTCAATCCCATCATCAATCGCTTTTTTCTTGAGATTGTATACCAGTTTCTTTAAAATGTGATTTTAAATAGCCAATGGTCCTTCTTCATTCATAAATCTTACTACTTCTCTTCTTTAACTTTCTTTTTTCCATTCTTCAAAGTAATCTCTTATTTTCCTTATCATGAAAAATTTTACTGTTGCCCTTTAGCCTGAATTTAAACTAACGCTTTCTACAGCGAATACTCTTAAATCATTAAGTACCTATGCTTATCTCTTCCTTAGGATTTAAGTTAGTATATTAGTCAAGAAATCAGATCCCTTGATTTTAGATTACTCCGCTCTGTATTGATAGCTTTATGATTCAAGCTTTACTCTGTTAAAAGTTTACTTTAAATAGATCCTATCTATTATAGACGCAAGTGAACCAAGTGAATTGCAGAAATCCTTAGAAATATTCTTCTGCTCATGTATTGTACTGAAAACTTTTCTTATAAGTTATTAATCATAGATTCTATCAATTTTACTTTTGATATCTCTGAATCTTTTAGTTTTTTTAAGTCTTTGATTCCATTTATTAATGGCATTAGTTATTTGACTTTGCTTAATGTTTTCTCTATAGATTTCAATCTTGCTTTTAATCAATATTTTAGTTTTAATTATATTTCTCCAAGCTATAAAAACATCAAAAACTTTGTGGTGACTTAGACTCTCGAATAACTATTCTTAAATTCTATCTTTTATCACACTTTTGAGTGATATGTGGTGCTTTACAAGAGTGTTTAATTATTTCTCTACTAATTAATGCTAATTTTGAATTTAGAGTTAATCAGCAACTCTCCATTGTCCAAACGCAAATCTAGTCTTTATTTTATTATACTTCAATACCAATACATTAGCTTAATTCAATTGTTGCCTCTATTCATATACAGCCTTAGCTTTTTCCTTAATAGCATTGAACCCATCTTGCCACAAAGTCTTTTATATTGCATTTTCTAATATCTTAATGCATTTCTTCCTCTTTTATACAAAGTCATGCCATTGCAACAAAATATATCTTTGCTTTGTTACGAAATCCTTATTGTCTACTCGACCAATTAAAGTCTTGAGACAATTTTAGTGCTTTTTCATAAATTCCTATTATTACTCTCTAAGTTTATTTAATTCGGAAGAAGCCTGATCAGCACTCATTCCATGTAAACGGTTTCTATTTTAGATCTCACTGTCTACTTTGGCAATATACTTTTCCTCATACGTAATGCTATTAATTATTACTTACTAAATTTAAGCTGATACAAATTCTTTCCATTTTTTAAATGCTTTTTCTTGAGAACCTTGATTTAGATGAAGGGCACATTTAGACAGCATTTGTTTTCTCTTTCTTGAAAGTTGAATGAATTCTAACCATTTCTTAAAGCCATATGATTAGTTATATTTGAACTATCTTTAGAATCCTTGCTTAATTGTATTCATGCAATTATCTGATAGCCTACTCTGAATGAGTTATAATTCACCCTAACCTTTATTAATGATTTCACTTTTATCTTCAATCTGAACTTTTAACTCTGACAGTTTCTCGGATAGGTCATTCTACTTTCCTTTTAATGATTTTTCATCATAGTGCTATCTAAATCTAATCCACTTTTTGAATGCTGACTCCTTAACTGATATATCTAACTAGGTAAGCATTCTTTTAAGATAATTCTTTGCTTAGTAATGCTATTTTGAAAATGTTAAGATGGCTTTATAGACTCTTTTCTTTTAGATGTCTCTGTGCTTATTCTAATGATCCTAAATCTTCTTGTCATACTGTTCCTATAATTTTATTTCATTGATCTTTTTCAAATATCTATCAAAGCTTTCTCTTTTTTATCTTCGATTTAATTTTTTCAAGATGAATTCAGACTTATTTAAAGTGAAGATAGTCTTGTCAATATTCGACTTCCATTGCTGAAAAAGTTCCATTTGTCTTTTATAGACAAGATTATTCATTATTTTTCTAATCTACTTACTACTTAAGGATTTTTGCTTAGCTTCTTTTTCTTCTATCTCATTTTAGGTGAGTTTTATCTATTGCTAAGTTTGAGAGATAACTTATTCTTCTTATTAAACCTCCTCTGACTGAAACTATATCATGGATTCACCTTTGAATTTGATCCAAGCTGTAAATGATTATCTCAAATGCTCAAGATAAACTCTGATGATCATTTATTTAAGGTTCTTATTAATCAAATTTCTCTTGTATTCAGTAAACTAACACCATTTCTAGAAATATTGATTGATTTATTTCCCAAAGCATTTCTAAATTGCTTTCAATCCCTACTCCTTTGATTTAGATTTATTCTACTAAGAAACTTCTTTGATAGCATTATTGGCTTCCTATTTTTAAGGTATCTCAATTTCATTCAATAGACTTGTCACTTATATCAATTTTTCTTACTGTTTGTGCTATCTCATAGCATCAAAACAGCATTTGACTAGATTTTCTCTTCGTTTTCTCTCTTCTCTAAGTATACTCCACGTCTAACCTCTCATTTACTTTCTTGTGAAGGTATAAATTCTCATATTCTTCCATGATCTATTTAAAATAGATATTCGTTTTGCTTTCACATCAGTTATCACCCCTCTCCAACAGTTGAATAATTAACCCAGATACTTTTTATGAGCAAGTCTTAGAGCCATTCCATTTAAATGAATCTAGTTTTCAAGTTCTTAAGAAACTTCAAGCCATTTTGCAAAGTACCTAGCTAAATGAGATCTATGCTTTTTAACTAGTTTTTTTTGAATCATCTTTTTTTTTTCTTCGTCATTTACTTTAATAAAGTCTCTCCATTTGATAAAGAAATGCTTTGAAACTCTAAGATGATAGTCATTCTTAGATTAAATCATTTGCATCAAGATCTATTTCTTCTTATGAGTATTCGACTTAGAAATATGAAAGGCATTAATCCAAAACTTGAGAGCATAAAGCATCGGGTTTTTAGACTTCATCCAAATTGAAAGTCTATATTGCTAATTTTTAGATCTCATTGGCTTTAATGCATTGATATACCATTTATAGAGGCATTTCTTAAGTCTATTTACACTATTTGTTTTTATTAATTTCCTTAGCTTTCTAAAGCCTTATTTATGATTGAATTAGGATTCAGTTATATATTTGAGATGATTGAATACATTTTACAAATTCCTATGATGAATCTCCTTAAGTGATTCAAATAAGATGTTAGTACTTATAATTCTGATATGTCTACTCTATAAGTGATCAGTATCATGCCTCTCATTTTAGTAATTGACTATTGCCTCGTCATATCTATCTTGGAGTAATGCTATTTTATTATGAAGATTTCTTTTCTCATCAATAGTGGAATCAATCTTATTTTTTAATTATCTGATAGTTTCCTTGTTAGCCATAATTATAGCATTCAGTCTATCAACATCATTTTCATTCATTTTTATTCTCTCAATTATATCTCTAAGCTCTTCTTGCAAGTCTCCAAAAGTTTTGGTCTTCACAGTGTAATTTATATTCATGTCAGTCTGTTTTATCTCTCCATCTTGTGTCATTGATGAAAGCTCCTTTATTCTTTATAATATTCGGAGTCTCTCAAGCTCGGCTGCTTTTAAATCTTCCTTCAGCTAATGGGATAGCTCTTTTTCAGATCTAAGTTCTGATCTTAATTCATCACTCACAACACCCCCTAAGTCTTCCCCCTTTTAGGTCTCTCTTTACATATCTCTCACAAACTTAAGTATTTCAATCAGTTCATTGCTAAGTGTTGCTTTTTCTTAGTTCAACTTGTCTAGCTATAAAAGACTGTCATTCAGCTTTTAGATTAGCTGAAGTTTGTCAGTCTCTAATATTTAAACTTAGTTTTCATAGGTGTCTTTTATTCGCATGGCCACTGATCTCTGAGATCTGAAGAATTTCTAGGTATTATCTTGGCCAGTGTTAACAACACCTTAAGTATTTATGTATGAATCATTGCTATGGAAAGGAGATGTTGCTTTCTTGATGCTAAGACTCTTTATAATGGGAACTCCAGATTTTTCAGAGTTTTTAGTGACTACAGCTATAGAGTGATTTTCTATCTCCTTTTTTAAACGGTCATCCATCTTCATCTGTCTCTTTTTATATTCCTCTGTCAAACTACTAAGCTTTCCTTAGATGTTCTCAAACTAATTCTCATCATTAAGGGATTGATAGGCGTTAGAAACTTAAGCATTTATAGGGGATCTAGGTCTTATTCCTGCCAAACCACTGCCCGCTCTCTAGCCAATCGTAGCAGCTGTACTATGGTAAAGCGTTCTATCGAAAGAAACATGTCGTTCATTGCTGATTGTTGTTCCTCCATTACTTTTTGTAATGCTACTTTGCTTCATACTTGAATAAGCATTCTAACTATTTGCTATTGGATTAGCTTATGCTTATTTTATCTTTTATTTAAGTGCTGAGCCAGTCTAACTTTTAAGTCTTATCTTTTGTTGAGGCTCTAAATGAAATATAATCAATAAATCTCTTACTCATTTTTCAAAGCTAATAAATTAATTTAAGTATTTTAAATTCCTAAAAATTAACGATTTAATTTCAATTCGGGGTTTTGGGGTTTTGGGGTTTTGGGG